ATGTGTGAGAAGAAGGCAGAGGTAGGGAAATACTGATTCTCATGAAGGCTTAGGTTCTGAGAGGCCTTTACAAGATAACTGGAAGGGGAGAGATAGTTAGCAATAATTTACTCTGCAAACCTCTACAAGTGTTATGAAAATTAATTAACCTTCACAAAGTGCTTTGCACACTAAGAGTTAAGGTACCACACTAGAGTAAAAGCATTACTCTTCCATACCACAGGCCAACACCTTCCTGCTCTAGAATGTTATTTGGTTAAATATTATTTTCCTTCTTTCCTCTCTCCTTTGCCTTTACTCAAAAGCAAAATCCATTCGGAGTTCGGGGGGGAGGGTGTGTGTGTGTGTGTGTGTGTGTGTGTGTGTGTGTGTGTGTGTGTGTGTTTCAGAAACCTATTTGGTTCACTTTCTAGGTTTTATGTAGGGGTACTTTTTACATTGCAGGAAAAAGGTACCTTCTCTCTTTCCTAAATGAAGATGTAGTTTTGACCGTGGACAGAACAAGTGACATTTCTCTATATATTTAGGTAAATGTCAGAAGCTTGAACTCAAGACAGCATCAGAAATGGCCACCGGCCTTGAAGAGTGATCATCCTTATTTCATGGCTTCTATGCACGGGGAGTGACCTGATCAATGTCTCCCGGTGAACAAAGTCTGGTGAAAAGCAAAGGGGAAAGAACTCCTCCCCTCCCCATCACAGACTCTGAGCTAAAACAGCTCACGTATTCCATCTCTTTTGTAGTGCATGCGAAGAAAATGAGGGTCAAAGCAGTGATGGGAACAACTTGTGGTTACCCAGAGTCCATGGGTCAGAGTAGGGGAGAATCCAGGCCACAACTCCCAATCTCAAGTTCCATCCCTAACAGCACTTTGACTTCCTTAAAACTGAAAAATCCCTGCATTTGCATTTAGGATCATCAATGATCTAAATCCCATCTGGAGTCTATCAATTGTGGAATGAGCAGACATTGGAGTGAGGAGTGGAGCCAACTGACTGCATTACAGGGCTGGGGAGGCCAAGATCATGGCCAAGGCCTGACTCCTGTCCCCACGCTTTCCCACCTCCACCCCATATGCACTGATCCCAGAGCGGAAAAATCTCAATGAATCTTCTATTTGCCAGAGAAGAAAATGGAAGCGAAGTTCAGCCTCAGCCAGCTTTGTGGCTGAGATGAGAATGTGAGGGTTTCAGACTCGCCACTGCCCCCTGTCACCTTCTTCAGGCAGTTGCAGTCTCTGTACAGCAAAGAGAAACTCTTACTAGAAAACCCGTATTTACAATTTTCTTGTTCCCCTGGAAATAATCTCTCTAGGACTCCCTAATTGTATGTCTGTCTCTCTCTCTCTCTCATGCACCCACATGCACATATGATTAGAGTAGATCTTAATAAAAGGAAAACAAGAATTTGTAGAAAATTCTGCAAAGACTATGAAACCACCAATTGAATTTTCAAGATGGATAGTTTCTCCCTAATTAGATTCTGCTGTCTTGTATAAACCAACTTTGCAGCTTTATCCCATCCTATAAAGCAAACCATTTTTCATTAGGAGGTTTACAAACGATGCCTGTGGAGCACGCAGAGCACAAACAGGCCTCACCTTTCCACTTGCTCTCAGGGCAGCATTAACGGCATTAACGCTGCTGCCTCAGATAACACACCAATAAAATGCAGGCGTATGGAAGTTACAAAAGCAAACACATTCCCTTCTAGTGAGTCACAACCACAAACAGTTTGAAAAACATCAAGCCCATTCTCTCACATTACTGAGAAGGAAACTAAAGCACAGAGAGGCAAAGAAAATTGCCTAAGCTCACATGGCTATCAGTGGCAGCGCCTAGGCAAGAACTCAAGTTTCTCCTGTCCTACTGCAGGGCTCTGGTTCTGCACCCAGAAAACACCCCTGAAATGGGATTGCCAAGAGAGCCCAGTGAATCCACCCCCCAGAGCTCCCCAGACAGGAGTGGGCCTTCATACCTGACCCCAGGTTGGGGAGCTGGCAGGGATATCCACAAATGATAGGCTTAGAGACCTGGAACCTTTGGCTGAGATAGTTTTGCACATTCAGCCATGACTGCTCTTGACATTCATCTTAAAACTTCTTAAGAAATAGCTAAATCAGGGCAAAAGTGCTATTGGAGGCCACTTTAAAATGCATATGAGGGTTAAGAAGCTCTTCAGCAAATCAGGAGCACAGGCCTCTCTCTGTAGGAGTATGGGCAGCAGAGCAGCATCCTGCAGGTAGGATTCTAGGCCATGGGCTGGGCCCATTCAGACAGCGATTACCCTCACCTCCTAGAGAATAAGAGTGCCATCCTCTCTGGGGGTGGGAGGTACCTGAATTGTGCTGTGGCTCCTGGTGTGATCAATGCTGTGTTCAGTGGGGAGTGGGGGTGTGGTGATGGTCAGAAACTAATCTAACCCCTCATTTTACAGGTGAGAAAACCAAGGCTCAGACAGGCCCAGAGAATTGAGCAAGGTCACAGAGCAACCTGGTTGGAGAGCCACATATGACTCAAACTCAAGCTCCTCATTCCCAGCCTCCCATGTACATTTCTCAAACTCATGTGCAAAGCACCTGGACATCCTGCTAAAATGAAGATTCCATAGAGCTGGGGAAAGGCCTGGGATTTCCTAAGAAATTTCCAGGTAATGCCAATGCTGCTGGTCCATGGACCACACTTTGAGTAACAAGGTTCTATGACAGGATAAAGGGATCCTTAAATGTCACCTCCAATTATATCAAGGCTTCAACTCTTCACCTCAACCTGGCAAATCCTCTAAGACTGACAAATATTTAAAACAATCATTATTATTATTTTAACATTCATTGAATATGTACCTGAACTATTCCAAATGCTTACATGTATTATCACATTTAATCCTCAGAACTCTGAGATGGATATGATATATATATATGCACAGGCATAGAAACATGGAACAAACTGATGAATATCAGAGAGAAGTGGGTAGAAGGAAAGGCAGGAAAAGATTAACCAAAGATCTTATATACAAACTAGAGGCCCAGTAAATAGATTTGTACACTGGTGGGGTCCCTCAGCCTGGCCTGCAGGGACTGGGCCAAAAACCAGCTTTCCGACATCCTCTGAGGGGTCTCAGAATGGAAGAGGGTGCAGGGCATGCCAAGGGACTCCACCAGTGCACAAATCCAAGCACTGGGCCTCTAGTTTTATAGATAAGGATGCTGAGATTCTGAGAGTTTGAGTAACTTGCCTAACTAACACTACTAGCAAGTTTCAGAGCCAACGTTCAAACTCAGATCTGTCTGGCTCATGGGTTAATCAGCTACAGACTATATGGAAATGTATCCTCAACCCTCCTTTCTCTGAGCCTTGGAGACCTCTCCCCAGAAGGCTCATGATATTGCTCAGTCAAACCAGGTTCCCCCAACACTACTTGGTCACACTTTCTCATAACTCAGGGTCCTAAAGGTCTTATTTTCTAGACCTCTGTGTACTAGTGGACCTCAACAAGTTATCTTCAGAGTTAATGTGTGTGTGTGTGTGTGTGTGTGTGTGTGTGTGTGTGTGTGTGGTGGGGGGAATATGGGGGGTGGGGGGTGGCGGTGGGCACAGAGCTTAGGTAATATATGGCAGCTAACCTACACAGTAAGTCACAAGGCGATCTCTTTTTTAATTAGGGGCTTGCAAGCTCTCACTAAGGCCAGGTTCACACAGACTCTGAAACACTGCCCTCAGGAGGCTGTGCTGGGCACCAGGAAGCTTGTGGGGAAGTATCTGCATGGTTGGGGGTGTGGTCTGTGTTGGAATTGCTGAGGGTTCCTATGGAATATAGGCGGGTCTCCAGGTGGGGACAAGTCTATAGCTGAGGCATGCTTCTGAGCTTTACCCAAACACAGCCATGCATTTTGGCTGCACATTCAGATATGCATCATCCTTAGTTACACCATGTTTCACAGAGCATGAGCTCATCGCTGTAATATATATTCAATGGCTGTGTACAAGTACAGCACCCAAATGGTACACTCATTCCCTTACTCCAGGTGAATAGGCTAGCTCTGCATCTGTGGCCAACAGGTGCCTGGCTGACTCTCATTTGACTCCTAAGCAGCCTCTTTAGGTGTTGGTGTTCACTGACTGGCCTAGTCCTGCCTCCTCCAGGCAAAGAAGGAATCCTAGAAATTGCTAGTTACCTAGAGAGATCCTGAGGGCAAAGAAGGCAGCAGGAGAGACACGAGCTATGATGGCAGAGTGTGATCAGAGGGGGAATTCAGTGAACCAAGGGCCAGTCCAGAGTTGGGAGTGTAGGTCTAGTACACTGGCGCCTTCCTGTCCAGATGTAAGTAGAGTGATTTTCCAACTGGTCCCAGTGCCAGGTTGTCTTCCTCTGAACCCCAGCTCTTCCATTTACAAGATGTGTATTCTGGGGCTTGTTACTTAAACTTTCAGTTCCTTGATTTCTTCATCTGAGATGTGAATAAAAATAAATCCAAATGAGTGGATGACTCAGTTGGTTGGAGCATCTTCCTGTGCACCAAAAGGCTGTGGGTTCAATCCCCAGTTGGGGTGCATATGGGTGGCAACTGATCCTCTCTCTCTCTCTCTCTCTCTCTCTCTCTCTCTCTCTCTCTCTCTCTCTTTCTTTTCTCTCTCTAAAATAAATTTAAAATACACACATATCCGTGGGTGAAAATTTAAAAAAACAATTAATTAAAAAGTTACATAAAATAAATCCAAATGAGCTAGTATATATATAAAGCATTTAGAATAGCACCTAACATATGGTGAGGGCCTAACAAATGTGAGCAAGGGCTTAAATATAGATAGATATAGATTTAATATAGATATAGATATAGATATAGATATAGATATAGATATAGACACAGAGACACACACACATTATGTCAGCAATGGGGCCAGCTCCCACTCTGGCTCCCACTCTTACAGAACATAAGAGAAAGCACCATTTGCATTCCTGTTTTTCACACAGATGGACAGAGAGCAGCTGTGGGCACCCACTTTTTCAGGGCACACTCCAGTTCATTCTTCTCCTCATGGGCTTCTTGGAGCTGGGAGAAGATTCTGGTCAGGAAATCCTCGAAGTTGGACAGCAAGTGAGGCTCATCCTTCTTCAGCTGTAGCCAGAGTTCCTTTACATCACTTTCACTGCAAGAAGAAAGGGATGTTAATGTAGGAGTGTGGAGATGAGGCTTTAAGGGAACACAGAAGTCCCAGCTATGAAACAGATAGCCAGAAACAGCATCGTCATCATTATAATGACGATAATGGCTAACCTATGAGTGCTTGCTGTGAGCATATTAGCTCATTTTATCTCATAGCAACCTCTGCGGCAGGTGCCATCGCCCATCTAGAGATGAGGTGACAGATGAGGAGAGGAGAGGTGGAGGAGCTGTCTCAGATCAGTTGGCTGGCAAAGGATGGAGCTGGGAGGCACACTCGGGCTGTCTGGCTCCTGTGTTGACTTCCTTATCTGCCTCACTGGCTGCTTCCACTCCCCTGTCCTTCTTGACGGGCTGGAGGTGCTGAGCGTGCAGAGCTGTGTGCTGGGCACATCTCAGAGGTCCAGAAAAGAAAGGAGGACAGGAGTCTGGTGCATGTGAGGACAAAGGCTGTGGAACCACAGGAAAGAGCTTGTCACCCTAGGAAGAAAGGTCCTCACAGCTGAGAGGGAAAGGCATGTCATCTGATGGATGGCAGAAGCAATTGTCACTGTGGGAAAAGGAAGAGAATAAGCAGCACCCTACTGGGGCCCGGTGGCAGCAGAAATGACTGGCAGGTGAAAGGAGGGGAAGCGGCAAGTCTGAAAGATGTGTGCACACACATGGAAAGACAAAGTCAGGAGGGAAAGAGCAGACAGAGAGACAATGACACAGAAGGACATGGCCAAAAAAAAAAAAAACACACACACACACAAAAAAAAACAGGCATACAGGGCACCTTCATATGTTCATGCATAGCAGCAGAGACACCTAGAGACAGCAGGGAGGAATAGGGAGGTGGTGTACACCATGGACCCTGCTCCCCTCTCTGGAGAAACTCAGTAATCTACAGCCAATGATCCCACTGAGCTAGACAGAAATCTGATTTGCACTCCATTAAATCCTACAACCACTATATGAGGGTAGCTATGACCAGAAACCCTCATGGTAATGAATAAAATCCTTTGTGCTTATATCACAAGCACCATACTTGAGAACTTTCCTCAGAAGTGATATTTGATAGTATCATGTTACTAGTGTGCCTGGAATATAGATATTACTCTATGAGAAGAGACCAACTGAGAAATAGACATAATTCTGGTTAGTTATCTTATCATCTGTCCAATTATCCCTCCCTCCCTTCTTCCTTCCCTTGCTCCATCTCATCCAAAGATCCACCAACTCATCTAGACCATCTATCTGTCCATCTATCTACCCATCCATCCATCCATCCATCTCTCTACTCCCTTTCCCACTCATTTATCCACCCACCCACCCATCCATTTATTAATCCACCCATCCATCCATTTACTCACCCACCCATCCACCAAACAAGTATTTATTATCTATTGAAAAACTAGCATTGAACATGATGGCATGGCGGAATCTGTGAAACAAATGAAGGAGAGGTAAGGAGCTTCCTTATTTCCCATAATGAGCTCCATTCTCCCCACACAGAGCATGTTGTGGCTATCCACTTTGGATATGACACAAGGGTTTCAGAACTAAAAGGTCTCAGAGTGATACCATGGTGGCCTCCTGTCACTGCGACAGGTTGCTCTCTTTATGAGTAATTGCATTATAAAAAGATCCATCTTACTAGCCTAGGTTAGTCTTTTCACATCTGTCAAGTTCCTAATGGAGCCTGACAGAACCACCAATTGGGCTAGAACCTCCAGTGAGATTTGCAGACCCATTTGACCCTTTTCCAAAGCCTTTGAACTGCTTATTAATGGCCACATCACCTCCCCCAGATTTCTAGAGAAAAGACAAGTCTTTAAACCCTTGGTAAAAAAAAAAAATAATAAGCCAGGCTCATAAGCAACAAAATCACTCAATGAATCAAACTATAAAAAAAAATTTAAAAAAGGTAGGGCTCCAGATGTCCCTTCTACACCCAGGGTACTCCTCTGGAAAGATATAGGCATATGGAGCTAGAAGGGATTCGGGTGGTCAACCTGTCCATCTTTCTGCTTCCAAGACAATACACAAGCCATCTTGGTACACGAAATCTTAGTCTTCACAGCTTCCTAGATCTATTTCCTTATCTGGAGTCCCACAGTCACAACTCTCATGCTGAAACTTAAGCCCTCTTCTATCTTGTTCAATCTCAATAAGGATGGAAATTGCTGGTTGCCATCTTCTATGTATCAATTTTTGTAGGCCACTCTTGAAACCTTCCCCAGAGCCTTCTATTCTTCAGGAATCTCATGTGACTCAGTTCTGCCTCTGACATAAGTCTCCAGAGTAACATCTGGTGGACTCTGATTTGCGAGCCCTGCCAGGAAGGTGGCTGTTCCGGAAGTGATGGGAGATAGAGAGGCAAGGCTCTGTCATTACAGTCCCTTGGCTCACCCACACTGCCCTCTCCTTCCCCCTCCTCTAGGAGGAGGCTTTACGCAGCTCCTGGCAGTGGTCACTGCGCTCTGACCTCTTGTCTCTGGAGAAGCTGAGTCTGGTGTCTGACTAGTGAGCTTCCCACACACCTGCGCCCCCAGCACACCTGCCTATCCCACTCAGGTTCTGCAGATCTGTGCCTGCACCAGCCCTCCAGGCCTGAGCAGAGCTGCTGCCGGTGTCACCATGTCATTTCATTTCCTGGCCAGAGCCTCCACCAGGGCTCTCTCCTAGACCTCCCCCTGTCCTTTCCTTGCCTGGCACAGGCTTCCCAGCTTTTCTCAACTCTGACACAGCCAGTCAAATCATTTGCACAGCCTATCATTTGCTAGAAAATTCACAGAGCGAGAGACACTTTCTTTGGCCTGCATGTTGCTATTTCCTCTTTATTACAGATTCCTCTTCCCAAACTCAGGACACTTCGATCATAAGGCCACTCCCACCCTTCATGAAACACACACCCAACCCAAGACCTATAGACCCAAAAATGAAAAGGCAAAAGGCAACAGAAATAGGGGGCAGAGTATTCCATGTTTTTTCAGGTCACTGTGTGGTTTCCATTAATGATACCATCACTTTATTTTATTTTATTATTTTATTTTATATAATTTGTAATTCCATTTTAAATGTCAGGGCTTAGATTCTTCTGACTCTTTCTTCCTAAACACTTTTTGTTAAAAATGGAGTATTATGTTTTGTTTGAAGTTCCATCTAAAATTTTTAGCTGAGCTACTGATTATCCAAGTGGTGGGCTGGTAAAACCTGGTTAATTTCCTGCCTCAGCTTCCTGACAGATTTCCCTTCTGGTTTGGCTTGGCATACAATGTGCAGACACTTCCACAGACAGTGCCTTTGCCAGGAGCATACCACAGTGGGGTGGCTGGGATACACTGCAGCCCCAGAGAACCTGGTTTGACTCCAATGGAGGTGGCAATGCTGGTGAGCTGACTATGAAGCCTTAGGCAAAATGCACTGCGAAAAACACAAGGCCCAGCACAGCCCTCTAATGTGTGAGCACTCCTCACTGAGCCTCAGACTGTGCTGGTAATGAACAGCAGGAAACAAAAAAAGTGAAAGAGTAGGGAGATAGGTGATTCCCATGAAAAAGTGGAAAAAGTAGAGACAGAGCCTCTACACCATGACACACAAACAGGACATTGCAAGGGCAGGCTATATGGGGCAAGTCTTGAAGCTGGCAGCTCGGAGCCTGGGCCTGGCTCCGGGGCTTAACAAACATTAATGGTTGAATGAAGCAGATACAGAGGTTGCTCCTAGGCTGGGTTCCCTCCCCCAAATCACTGTCACCACTTACTCTTCCAAAACATTTTGGGCTCCAAGTTTGTCCATCAGCATCTGGAACTGGGCTTCCTCATCTTCATCCAGGTCACCCAGATCCTCCTCTGCTCTGGACTGATACACCTTCTCCTCCTGGTACTGGGCCACCTGTTCACCTGCATCTCCCTGACTTGGTTTGCTCTGGCTGAAGAAGAAATGACCTGGGGAATGCATGGTAAAGGGTCTGAATCAGGCAATGCTCATCCAAGAAGACCTTCCCTTCCTTAGTTTCCAACAATCATCTGAGAGAAGAAAAAGGGAAACCACCTATAACAATTATCCTAGGATAACATATTCTGGATTTTGTGTCTTTTCTACTCCCAAGAGACTCTGCCAGAAATGCTAGAGTAGGACCTGGGAAAGGCAGAATGCATGGCAGGTACTCTGGCATGTTGGTGGTTCTCAGTCCTTTAAAGTATGGCTTAGAATGCATCTTTTCATTGATTTCTTCTCTAAAAAACAAGACCTTTCTCTCCATCACAGCCCAGTGACCTGACTTCTCATGCTCCATGTTATCTACTTGGACCTATCAGCAGCATCGCTATACTTCACATTAGCAAATTACTGTGTAGCTTTGGGTGCACTCTTCCCATTCCCATTCTGATAATACAGCAATATGTCTTATTTTCCTAAGTCCATTGCACAGGTCAGGAAAGGCCTCAAATACTTCACAGTAAACTATACAGTGCCTTGTAACAGCCAGATGTGTGGTGAAACATGCCTGCTGATTTATCTGATCAGTATCTGCTCTAATCAATATTGGATCAATCTAATTTGATGGCATAGGTGGTTTTCTTGTCTTCTTCATGGATCTCTGATCTCATTTCTCCTGGTTCACCTGGAATGACTGTCCTATTCAAACCCCTTAGAAAGTCCTAAACCTTGAGACTCAGCCAGAGTCAGGCTAGAGTGAGCCATGCAGTGATCCCACTTTATCGTCCTCTAGTACCAAGGCAGAAAGGCGAGGCTGGGAATTTCATGTCAGCTCTCCCTTTCATGCCAGGCCTTCTGCCAGAGCTTCTCTACATTCCACTTGCCATTCCTGGTGGCAGGAAACTTGGCAGTGACAATGTGGTAAGCACTGAGGGAGCAATGGTGTGAGCAGCCAAGGAAGACATGAAAGAGCCACAAAATCCAGAGCCTGACATGTCAGGAAGGCAGGAAAACTTGTGCTCCCAGGACCCTGGGATCTGGTGGGCAGGTTGCACTTTCTGTAGTGTTAGGTAGACCCAAACAATGCCACCACCCCCACACCCCCGCATCCATCAGAACTTACTAAACCCAGTGGTGAACTCCTCTGGAGTCAGAAAGCCATTGCCATCAGCATCCAGGGCATCAAACACATCCTCCAAGTCCTCCAGGCTGAGGGGCAACTCTTTATGGAGCCTCTGAAAACAACCCAGACCGCACTGGTTAGCACTCACGACCATGGAGGATGGCCTGGGACCTCCTGCCAAAAAAGGAGTCCCTGTCCTACAAAAGCCAGAGCGAGCTTCTGAAGATCACTTTACCATTCTACTCCTCCTTTACATATTAGAATGTCTACCATTTATTGGGTGCCTACCAATGTGCTAGGCAATTTGTTAAATGAGTTATAAGTAAGAATTTAAACATGTACATATTTATCAATATATTTATATAGCTTCTATGTTAATACATCTTTGCATTGAATTCTCATAACAACTCTCGGAGGTGGATGTTATTATCTCTATTTTATAGATGAGATGTGAAGTTAAATGACCTGTCCCATGGTTCCCTAGCCCAGCGGTTGCCAACCTTTTGGGCCTCATGGACCACCAGTGGTGACCGCTGCTCCAAAGGTTTCCTTAAACCAGCAGTCACCAACCTTTCAGAACTCATAAAATGATGCTGCCAGGAGTCAAGTCCAGGTCTGACTCCATAGCTTGTGCTCCTCACAGCTGTCAATGAATCGACTGTACTTGAAACTATATAGGACTGAATCCTATTGTGGGGTGATACCCACACAATGTGAGGCTGTCAAGTTAAATAAGCTAACAAATGTAAGGAATATGGCATGGTGCTTTGGAGAAAAAAACAGAGAGAGAGAGAGAGAGAGAGAGAGAGAGAGAGAGAGAGAGAGAGAGAGAGAGAGATCCTGATAAACCAAGGCCACTCAGTGAGTCAGTGGCAGAAGCAGGTTTTATGCCCAGTTTTTCCTGCTCTGCTTGAGCCCTTTCCTCAGCCATGCTACCTCTTTACTGAGATGTGGGTATGGGTCATACTCTCAGATCTTTCCCTGGTGAAGGCCACTCATGTCTCAGGGCCCCAGCACCATATCTGTAAGTTCTCTGGACACACATTGGTCCTTCAGCTTTGAGTGGGGACTGGATTAGCCCCTTCTTCCCTCTGAGTGACCTGCACCCCTCACATTGGTCTGTGCTCCACTCTTGCTCCCTGCTGGCTCTCAACTAATTCCTGACTGGATGTTAAATGCTTCGGACTTAAGGCATCAATTCCAGAGAGTATTTGTGTTTTAAAGGAACCTGGACAAGATGGTGTGTGAGGAGGTCATAAATAAATGCTGACCTTAGTTCTGGGCTGATACCAGAACAGAAGGAACCAACTGATGGGATGACAAGCAACATGGTGTGGTGTGCATTGGCCCAAGCCTAGGCTAATTTGCATAGTGGAAACAAATGTCCTCTTATTCTCTAATAATCTAAGTCTCCAAATGAGGGTTTCCCAAGGAGTTCATTATATATACCCCCTCCCAGTTAGCCAAGGACAACTGCACAGAATTCCTGCCGGTGTGAAAGTGACTGAAAGCTGAATATAATGAACACAGGGCTGCCAGAAGGAGGTATATACTCATCTGGACACACACAAAAAAAGCTGGCAGGTGTGAAAGCCCATAACATAACATGCAAGAATACTTGGCTTGATCCAGTGACAATCTGCTAGCTGATACTCCATAAAGTTTAATTTGTCTGGTAAGTGCATTAGGGAGACTATGAAGCACTACAAAATGGAAAGACCATTTTGAAGAATTAAATTAAGCATGAATGAGTTTTTGTTTTAAGGAAGGGGAGTGAGGGCTTGTGCAAAATTTCTAGAAGTGCATCTGCTTAGCATACAACAGAGCCTCTGGTTTACCAGCAATCCATAAACCAGCCGGCTCAAAAGCCATAAGAAGAGAATGGGGAGTGAGGAATCAGTTTTGCAAGCAGAACATTTATTAGTTCCACTGAAACAGAAGGCATCACACATGGAAGGACATCAGTGTGCCCTATTTCCTGGCCTATTGCCCCACCAGCTCCTCAGAAAAACCCACACTCCTAGCCCATCCCAATTCCAGTCCATTTTTTGGAAATATCCTTCTCCCTCCCCACTGGTCAGCCCAGGGTTGCTGGGCCTAGTGTGAAATGGGATGGGACATCACACACAGTGCTGAAGCCTAAAAAGGGCGGGAAGGAAATTGCAGGGGTCGGTGGGGTCCTCAACTTGGCTTTCACCCAAACCAACCACACATGGGAGCTTTTGTCTTTTAGGATGAGCCAAGAGAAGCTGTGTCATAGCCCACCTTAGGCACTATTTCTGCATCTAACACCTCCCACCACAAATCCTTCTTACTGTCTAATCCCAATCCTTCTGTCTAAGTCTCAAACCCAGTTTCTTCTTTCTGTTGTCAGTGAAGATGGGAGAGCACTATTATACCCTCCAAGTAATTCCTCCTCTTCATCTCCTGGCTAATGCGCATGAGAACTTCTGCAGCCTTCTCCACAAGCCGTACCATGCAAGTTCACAACCCCTTTTACCTGGCCTACTTGAAAAATCCTTTAGTCTTAGTAACTATAATTCTCTCATATTTCTCTTCCCTCTTAGGGCCTACAGCTTATTCTGGTCTTGTCCCCTGGGAACCTAGTGTGTTGTGTCTGGTCAAGATTACTCATTCCTTTGTGCAAATAACCTGTGAGACTCTGCAGTCACAGCAGAGGCCAGCGATAAGAGGAAGACCCAGTTTTCCATCCCGACTCCCGCTGCAGTCTAAGGTCCTCTGGTTAACCATTCTCTCACTCCTGTCTGCTTACCGTTCCACACCTGCCCACGGACCACCACTGTCTATTTGGTCAGCACCATTAGGCATGGCCTTGCAGAGCCCCTGCTTCACTCCACCCCCTGGCAGGGCTGGCGAAGGGGAGGAGACATAGAAGGACATCAGTGAGCCCTATTTCCTGGCCCATGGCCCCACCAGCTCCTCAGAATCTGTGACTCCTATAAACACTGGCCTCCCTTCACCACCTTTAAGAAATTCTGAATTGCTGCTTTCCTCTCAGCTCCGGCCTCACTTGCTCAGGGAGCTCTGTGGCCCCAGGCTTGGCCAGTGCACACAGACTCCCCAAACCTATTCTCTCATCCACAGGTCTCACCTGGGTTTGTATTTTACCTGCTGTAGGTGTGGTTCCTTGGTGAACGTCTGCACCTTCAGGGGACTGGAAGCTCTGAGAACAGAAACCCCATCCACTTTTCCTCACTACTGTGACCCCACGATCCAGCCTCATGCTGACACACATGGAGTATTTATTTTTTAAATATATTTTTATTTATTTCAGAGAGGAAGGGAGAGGTAGAGAAAGATAGAAACATCAATGATGATAGAGAATCATTGATTGGCTGCCTCTCACATGCCCCCTACTCTGGATCGATCCTGAAAGCCCAGCATGTGCCTTTGACTGGAATCAAACCCCAGACCCTTCAGCCCACAGGCAGACACTCTATCCACTGGGCTAAACCAACTAGGGCGCTGGTTTACACATGGAGTATTTAGATATTTGTTGAATAAATGAGCGACTAAGAGTGATCACAGGGATCCTGACCTCCTATTGACAGAACACTGGTCTAGAAGCCAGGGCAGCACTACTGTAGATTCTTATAAACTGGGGAAATCCAACCGGGTACAGTCCTGTAGCAGCTGCACTGAGGGCTCAGGCTCCTGGGCCCAGGAAAACACTGTGTTCTGCTGCACTCCAGCCTGACTTCTCTATCTTCTGTGTCACAGCCCATGACTTGACCCGAGAAGCTTGAAACAAATGTTTGCACTGCTTTAACCATGTCTAAGGGGACACTCATGAGACAGAAAACCAAAAGAGCTCCATCCTTATGGCCAGAATGGAAGTCTCCCTCCTTTGGGGGCTCTCACAGCATCTTGCCCAGACCTCTGTCCCAGCGCCAACCAGGTCTTCCCTGTGGTAGAGTTGAGCTTTCAGAACCAAAGGTTTTCAGGGTCAGACTGAGGCCCTGGAGGCAGGATCCACATTTTCCTGCTTTAAGGTTTGATGTGCTTGGTTTTGGCTGATTCTTTGGTGTAGATAGGGTTTCGCAACCTCTGCACTATTGACATCTTGGAATGGAGAGTTCTCTGTTGGAGGAGGGACAGTGGGGGAGAAGCCCTCCTGTGCATTATATGATATTTAGCAACATCTCTGGACATTACTGAGCAGATGCCAATAGCACCTCCCTCTCCGGTTGTTTCCATCAAAAATGCCTGCAGATATTGCCAAATTTTCCATGAGGCAAAATTGCCTTCAAACATGCACACTGGACACAAACAAGAATAGCACCAGCTAGATACAAATGGAAGGTGCTTTCTTCAGCAGAAAAGCCATTTGTTTATCTCTGAGGAAGAACAGATGACTCTCAACACAGCTTGATGGAGCAGCCACCATGGAAAACAGCCGTTCCTCAAAAGGCTAAAAATATTTATGTGATCCAGCAATTGCACTTTTGGGCATGTACCCAAAATAATTTAAAGCTGGAACTCAAAGGATATTTATATACTCATGTTCATAGCACATTTGTTCAAACTCAGAGACATGAAGCAACCCAAGTGTCCATTGACTGGTGAGCAGAAAAACAAAATGAACATGTATGGTCATGGTATATTATTCAGCCTTTAAAAGGAAGCATATCCTGACACAGGCTACAATGTGCCTGAATTTTGAAGACATTTTGTTAAGTGAACTAAGCAGTCACTGTATTTCCACTTAGATGAGGTAGTAAACTTCATAGACAGAAAGTAGAATGGTGGTTACCCAGAACTGGGAAGGGAGGAGGACTCAGTGTTTAATGGGTACAAAGTTCCTATTTTGCAAGATGAAAAGAGTTCTGGAGATGATGGTGGTGAAGACTCTTGAACTACATGTACCACTGAACCAATCACTTTGTTAAAATGGTAAATTTTATGTGATGTCCATTTTACCACAATTTTTAAAAATCACGGTGTGGAAGATACTGGGGTCTGGGTTAAGACCCAGGGTACAAGTCTCCCTTCCTCATCTTCCTCACCCTCTCCCTGCCCTTTGCACCAGAAATACACCAGGTCCGGTCTCAGGGTTCAGTGCCCTCCTGCTCATTTATTCTCTTCTAATGCTGCGATGTGCTATGATAGTTCACAGGGGAGGAAGCATGGCCAGGAGTGAGGAGACATACAAGCTCACATTGCTAGTAAGTGGCAGATTCAGGATTAACACTCAGGTTAATTTACACACACACACACACCCCAAAAAATCTTTAAAAGTCTTCTTGTTAACCTGAATCAGGCATCAGCTAACTCTTTTTGCAAAGGGTCAGGAAGTACATATTTAGGCTTTGCAGGCCCTCCAGTCTTTGTCACAAACTGCTCAGCTCTGCCTTTTGAGTGACAGCTGCTGCAGACACTATGTAAACGAGTGAGCACACTGTGTTCCAATACAACTTCACTTGCAAGAACAGCTGTTAGGCCAGATTGGCTTGGTCTGCCAATGCCTAGAGGATTCTTAACAGTCTGGCTAAGCCAGGAGTTCCAGGCAGCGTTGGGAGGTAGATAACCACTTCACTCCTCTAAAATACCAGGGGAACAGGATTTTTGAGGCTCTAGGTTTCTTCAGAGAGAACTCTTCCCACCCTGCATGCCACTCCGTCCCCCAGATGCAGGAATCCCTCCTTGCCCCCTCCAGCTTGGCCTTTCACTTCCCTCTGTCCCTGTGAGACTGGACTGGCTCTCACCCTGGGCCCTCTAGGGCCCTCTGCTTCTCTAGGGCCCTGAAAAGCAATCTGTATCCCCATTCTGCCTGGAGTGATCCCTTGGAACCTGGAGAGGTTCCTTGTGGAGGGAGAGTGGAGTCTGAGGGGCGATGGGTGGAGCAGAGGACCCTCCACCGCTGCCTAAGCTGTTCCCACAGGTCAGGCTCCACCCTCTCCACAGGGTGTCCTCACAGGAACCCCTGCCCTCAGTGCAGCCACTTCAGTCCCTCCAGGGACCAATAAGGAGAAAGGCTTCTCCTGGTCCCTGCTCCTTCCCTTTGGGCTCCCTGCTCCTCAGGGCAGGTGGACCGCCTCCTGCTGGGGCTCTGCCCACAGTGGTGTGGTCCTGTCCCCCACCTCACAGATGACTGGGAAGTCCACCTCATGCTCTTCACATAGATTTTTGTTAATCAGGAGAAAAAAACAAGAGCACTGGGGAAGGAGCTTAACTCTCCTGTTCATTTTTCAAAAGGACAGCGAGTTCTCGTGGTTTTGTTCCAACTCTGCCTCTTCACCGACCTCCTCCAGTCCCCAAGTTCTCCATCCCACATAACCCACAGCCCCTCCTTCCTTGAGAGCCATTCTCTGTTGTAAAAGGCCTTTCCTAGTGGCTGAATTTGTGTGTGTGAACAATTTGAATGCTTCTCCCTCTGGCTCCCATGAGGCTGTGGCAGGAGCTGATGGGTGGTGTTGGGCAGGTCCAAGGAGCTGGCCACCAACCAAAGGGGTGAGGATGTGGGAGTGACAGGCAGCAGGCAGAGAACTGCAGGTGCTGCCCAGGAGAACCTTGGGGCACGTGGCTTTACACAGACAGCCCGGAGTCAACTATGAGAGGTGACTGTCCACTGTTCCTCTCTTTCCAGCCTGCCTTTCTTCAGACATGACCAGTGGAAGCATCAGAGAGATGGTGCTTAAGTGACATGCTTTGTTCTCTCTCTTGATAGCCCTCTCTTAGTCTGCAAATATGAAGAATGTTCAATGCATCATTGTCCACAGTTACACAGAAATTTCAAAAAGCTAAGGAGCTGGTAGATAAGTGCCATGAAGCCACACGCATTTGCTGGCAGATGCTATTCCCTCCTCCCGCAGCCCTCCCTCACCCCCCCAGCCTGGGTCAGGAGTGAGGAATGAGGGAGGAAGACTAAGGAGGCATAGAGATGAGTTAGTATCTCTGCACTCTATGTTTCTGACTTCATTCCAAATCAAACACAAATGATTTCTTAACAATTTATACTTGGCAGCTTAGATTCCCCACGCCTCTGCCTCCTTTCATTGAAGAGTGTGTTTCAATGAAGGTTAACTATGATCTACACAGTGAGTTGCACTGTGCGTGTGACCCAGAATGACCCTCAGTAAATGTGAGTTCTAAACACACTCTTCTAAACACACATTCTAATAATATAACTGGATTTCCCTCCAAAAATGCTTTTGACGAGCAAGTGATGACAAGAGGTGAAAAAGATATGCTTCCATAGAGCTCTAGTGAAATCTGCATTTTATTTACTCCCATCAGGATGAAATCATGACTGCAGCATAAGAGACTTAAGTGAGACACCATGATGCATGAAAATTAATTAAAATTCAAATTTCAGTGTCCATAAATAAAGTTTTATTGGAACAATGCCACTCTCATTCATTTACATATTGACTATGACGACTCGTGCAGAGCTGAGCAGTCAGGATAGAGACTGCATTGCCCATAAAGCCTAGAATATATATTCTCTGGCCCTTTTCAGACCGTTTGCTGAGCCCCACACTAGTAGGTGTGTGCACTGAGGGTCTGCAATCTCTCTCTCTGGAATGCTGACAGGAGGGGTAAGGTGTGGTTGGGTTTCAGCATGAGGGACAGACAAGATGAGCTCCAGAAATGCCTTTCTCTGTGCGCTGCCACGACACACATGGCACCTCCCAGGAAGGACTTCAGCAGTGCTTTGATGTGAAGCAACAAGTTGGTGCCTTTTCACCTGTTTCAGAAGGTTCTTCATCATCTCTGACAAACATCTCTTATATTGCTATCACCCTCTCCCCAACCCTGGGGAGTTACTGAGTCAGAGAGGGGAAATAATCCTCGAGTGTGACAGCAAAACCAGAAAATAAGGGAACCAGGAGCTTGGGCTGATGCTTCCTTCCAGGGCAGAGTGATGGCCTCTTTTCTGTGTAGGATGTTGCCTCTGAGGGGCCAAGTTGTAAGCTGAGACAGGGGGACCCAGGCCATTTGGTTTTCCAGGTGGACAACCTCGCCCCTCTTACCTGCATATCTCTCCTGGCGATAAAGCCCTTGCCCTCTGCGTCACAGGTCTGGAAGAATTCCTGTGCCTTCTTCAGCATGGTTACCTCTGCCAGCACCATCTCTTGTGTCTCCATACACTCCAGGCTGTCCAGGGCACCCAGGCAGGCCCCATTCCCCTTCGGTCCCCGGGCGGGTCTCTGGGGCCTAGAAACCACTTTCTGGTCAGGGGTAGCCATCCAGGTTTGTCAATTTATCCAAATCTTTTCAGACCCTGAGAATGGAAAATGAGAGAGAGAGAGAGGTGGGTGTGGTAGGATGAAGTGAGGCTGAGAAAGAATGACAGGGGACGAGAGAGAAGCACAGAACTGCTTATCAATGTGCCCAGCATCTCTTAGCAACCACCTCTTAATTAGCAAAAGCTCAGACAAGGGGAAGTGTGCCATGATGGCTCATTGATCAGCCAGCCCATCCAAGAGAAAAGAGAAGAGCAGGTAAAGAAAAAAGACACTTCCAAACCAAAATAAAATGGGTAGAGGAAGCCTGAAAATAATTTCTCTTAATTTAAACCAACAATAAAACAGATCCTAATAGACCAGCTACCATTTATTGAGAATTTACTTGTAGGCAGGCACCAGGCAATGGTCTCTCTCTATATGTCATCATTTATTTCTCTCTGAAATAGATATTATCATCTCTATTTTATTAAGGCTCAGAGAGGTTGAGTGAGTTGCCAAGGCTACCCAGCAGTTTGTACAAATTTGTGATTTAAATGCAAGGTCACCTAACTTGTATTTGATATCAACCCCACACTGTCCTGACTCCTCCTGAGCCAATGTTGGAGGGCTCCCCTCTCACAGATGCACTCTCTCCTATGTCACTCACAGCCTACAAGTTCTTGATGAGCTCTTCACCTCTGCCACGGATCCATGGAGGTGGTGATGGCTGGATGAGAAAATGCACCTGGTCCTCAGGAAGCTTCCTGCTGTACTGGACTTCCCAGGCCTGGTTTCTATGATTTGTGATTCTGTCTTCAGCTAACATAGAATCACAAATCACAGACCTCAATCAGGGGGTGTGTGTGTGTGTGTGTGTGTGTGTGTCCTCACCCAAGGATAGTTTTCATTAATTTTTAGAAAGAGTGGAAGGGAGATGGAGAGACACAGAGAGAAACATCAATGTGAGAGGACACATTGATTGATTGCCATCTAGGTTTGTCAATCCAGGGCCAGGGATTAAGCCTGCAACCTAGGTACATGCCCTTGACTAGAATTAAACCCAGGACCCTTCAGTCTGCAGGCTGATACTCTATCCACTGGGCCAAACCTGCTGGGGCTCAATCAAGTTCTTAAAGCCCCTCCAAAAGTTTTTTTTTTAAATAAGGTTCAGTGTAATGTGATGTCATAGAAGAAGGGACACAAAATCCGACTTCTACTCTGTTTCCCCGAAAATAAGACAGTGTCTTATATTAATTTTTGCTCCCAAAGATGCGCTAGGTCTTATTTTCAGGGAATGTCTTATTTTTTCATGAAGAAGAATACGGTACACATTTATTGTTAAGTGAAAAAAAAGGAAATTTATTACCTGTATACAGTATGGTAGTACGGTAGTTGTCAACACAAACCAGACAAACTGTGAATTCTATAGTATCAAGAATTTACTCATTTATTCAAAGACAATCATGTCATCATCTTCTGGAACATCATCATAACAATCCAATTCCTGAATTTCCTGGTGAATTTCTTATGACTCCATTTCTTTCAGAATCAGTGGACCAAATCTCTCATGTTTAGCAATAGCACTGTCTTTAAATGAGTACTTCTCTGTCAAGTTAGCCTGCTCTCAGTGCATTTGCAATGCAACTGTCAGTGATTTTCTCCCATGAATTCTTCACCCAAGTCACAACTTATTGCAGTTTAGGTTTCACAAAGTTTCCACGCTGATTTCTCTCCAATCTATTTTCAATGTAGTCATTAATTTCCATGCGCCAATTGTCTTTGAATGGCTTGTTTATTGCAACATCAAGAGTCTAGAGATAGGCCATCATTCCTGCTGGAATCATTATCTGATCTTTTTTTCTTTCATGAAGAAATGTCTTCATGTATTTAGCATGGTGAGTGCTGGCTGCATCCCAGACTAGCAGACCTCCCTCGCATAACAAGCAGCAGCATTAAATCGACCCACTTCCTTATAACTACTTGTGTGGCTCAGGCTTTTTCAGTTTCAAGAATAAAAATGGCCAAAACATGTTCCATCTTTTCCTTCTTGCCCTTAGAAATGATTAAAGGTGGGATTTTAGTGCCATCCAGACGAATTGCCAAAATACAGGAAACACATGCACTTTTGTAAGCAGTGGAGGGAATGTACCCCACTGTTCAATTGTTGTTTGAGATGATTGGCCCATAAACACTGCAGTTTCATCCATAGCAATCATGTTGGAAAGATTGTATTTAGAGAAGTCAGCATCATCAATAAAGGACTTGAATGCAAGTGCTCGCTTAATAATTTGAGTATCTTCCAACCTAAACAATGTTGTATCGGTAGATCTTCTTAAAGACAGTTCACTTCACTGAAGGAAATTATCCAGCCAGTGTTGTGATGCTTTGAAGTCTTTGGGGGCTGTGTCAAACTGTGGTGCCATTGCCAGGGCAAATTCTTGAATCTGAGCCCTATTCACAACCAAAGCCTTTGCTCTCCTGTCAACAACCCAGTCACAGATCAGGTCTTCCAGCTCGGAAAATAATGATTGCCGACCTGATCCACACTTGTGTTTTTAGCATTTCCCTTGTCCACTTGTTCAATGAGGTTACCATACTCTGCTTGCCATTTTCAGACCAATCAGATACTCAACATCTTCTCTTTGCAGAAAGCAGTAAGATTTTGGCCCCAAGAGTCTTCCATGATTTCTTTCTTGTACTCCATGGAGTAGCTTTTTCTTTTTGCACTCATTTCTAGGGGTAAAAAAAAGGAATTGGGGTATCAAGGTGGGAGGAGGGGGATCACTTAAAATGACACAGGGGGGATCAGAGGAGGGAATCAAAATGGCACAGGAGAATCAGAGGAAGATTACCATTTTACCATAGTAACCCCTTTTGATTCCCCTGTGTCATTTTGATTGCCCCCTCTGATCCTCCTGTGTCAGTTTAAGTGATCCCCCTCCTTCCACCCCTATGCCACTGAGCACCTTCATCAGACATCCCCCCCTACCTCTTTATCAGACATTTACCCCTTGGAGCCTGCCTGGGGACTGTCATTGGGCTTGCTGAGGCCTGGATCTGGGCTGGAGCAGGGTCTGCCACTGACTGAGAACCTTCAGTCATCATGAGGGCGGCTGCGAGCATCAGGTAGTGTTACCAGAGACAGACCAGCACTCACCACCTTCCCCGCATCCCGTCTGCTCTAATCCTCCTGTTCTTCTACATGCATCTGCGATAGTCTCCTCCTCTCTCCCGCCCCACACTCACCTCTCACTCTGACCTCCGCTCCGCCTCCACATAGCAGTGACGTCAGGACTCCGACTAACGTCACTGGTTGCTAGACGCCAGTCGGGGCGGCACTAGTGACCAGTTTATGGTAAATTAATTTTCATTATGAGACAGAGCCTAGAGGGGGCCTTATTTTCGGGGGGGATGCCTTATATTTCACTCAGAAGAAAACCTGTAAGTAGGTCTTATTTTCGGAGGATGTTTTATTTTCGGGGAAACACGGTAGTCTGGACTGCACTGTGATTTATGAGACCTTGAACAAGTCACCTGTCTGGGCCTCAGTTTCCCATCTGTACAATGAGAAGACTGGGCCTGCTTGTCTTTAAACATCTTTCTTGCTCTAACAGTCTGGACGTCTGACATTTTAATATAATTAAATGTTTTTAGTGAAAAATTGGATTAATATGATAAAAGAAAATAGCAATATCCTTGGAGTTTTCCATCTAAATTTTCAGAAAGAAGACTAGGTCCAAATTTCAAATGTATGACAATATTTGAATTTAAAAATATAGCTATGCACTGTAATGCATTTTATGGGAAACTAGAGGAAGTGAAGTCCTAAATCACGTCTCCTGAGACCATGGTCAGAATAAAGACAGAAAAATCGCTGAATCTCCAGGTGGGTTTCTCTGATGATTAGTGCCTGGGCCTGTGGCTCAGCTACACTATGACTCCGAAATCATCTATTATTTCAGTCAGCATCTTCCATCTGTGAGATTTGTCCAGAGTTGTGGGCCTGAAGCTGGATGCCTTGGCCCAAGGAATTGACTCCGTGGAACAAAGCGGGACAGGGCAGGGTAAGCTCCCCTTCTCTCTGTGCTCGGGTTGAGCAAGGAACTCCCACCCTGACTCCTCAGACCAACCCTTCACTCGGGAAATAGTCTTTCCTTCATCCCCACATGTGCATGTGGGCCGTCACCTGATCAGAGGCAGATTTAACATTTTTATTCTGTTTTTCCCAAGGGGAACTGTCTTGCATGTAAGTCCCCAGAGAGCACAGCAGTGTTTGCAAAGCTTATTTATGTGCACTGTCTAGCACATCTGCGTGCAATGCTGAGCTCAGGGAGGGCCTTTGGATAATGACAGTGGTGCTATCTGAGCTTTTGTAAATATACAGCATGAGTAGAGCAGCTGCGGTCTTCCTGATTCTGCAAGGTCTCATCCCCACATGCTGTCCCAGACACTAGGCTAATAAAACCTGTCATTCCCAGGCTCCTAACCTACTTCATCCTATTGAAACCTATATCCTTCCATAAGGTACGTAGGATTAGGATTCCTGTTAAACAGATGAGGAAACCGAGTTTGGTATAGAATAAGTAACTCAGATCAAAGTCTAGAATAGTTACAGACTCATGTATTTACTGTATCAGATTGCCTTCCTATCATAGGTCCCAGCTGTGGGTCTGTTATCAGTCTACACATCCCCAACTGATAACAACCTAAGTCACCTTCCAGAGGCATGTTCATCATTTTAACGTTTTTCATTCATTCATTCATTCATTCATTCATATCTATTGATTACCACACAGCAAGCTCTGAGCTACCTGTGATAAATGGAAACATGAATAAAACATGGTCCCCAACCTTAATGAATAAGTATCTGTAGGATTTTAGTCATAGCGGCTGGCCATGACGGAAGGTATTTTGAATTTTTAAAAAAATATATTTTATTGATTTTTTACAGAGAGGAAGGAAGAGGGATAGAGAACTAGAAACATGGATGAGAGAGAAACATCAACCAGCTGCCTCCTGCA